AGACCTGTATTATTCTAAAGATCGTTATATATTTGCGAAGGTTGTGAAGCAACTAACGATGGTTGGTGCATATTTAAAATAATCTACAGTTTTGTCATTCTCATCGCAGTGTCTTTCATCGTTTACAAAACTACTCAATTACTGCTAATGAAAAACAGCTGCAGAAACGTCAAACCGGACACTTTGAAAACTTATTTAATTTTCGCTCATGGATATTGTCACTACTTTGAAAGAAGTCTAATAATGATACATTAAAACGATTGGTTTTGAAAAAATTTTTGGTGCATCATGAAGAGCATCGTGTGCTGTGTATGAATGGTTCAGCTTTTTCTTGGTATCATTGCAAATTAATCCTCTAAGTTGATTATAAGATCAATGAAGGCGGTAAAATATTTCTGGAATATCGTTAAAATTCTTTCCAAGCATAGAATGCGTCCAAGGGGGCCTCTTTTCGCCCATGTTTCACATCGTATGATAGATTAAAGTATTCTATATAAATTTATCACTGGGTCTAGTGCAAAAATGCGCTTCTGGAAGTCGATGAAAACGGATTTCCATCTATGCCGTGCAATTTGAACGAAGTGACCGGAATTACCCCAAAGCACATATCTCTAAAAAAATGACTGTCTTTTGATTTCTCTAAATTGGAATTAACTAATTAATGGTAAGTATGACCGCAGTGCAAATTAGACAGGTAGATAGAACTCACAATTCTGCATATGATGGTCTAATTTTTAATTACAAAGATGAAAGTTCACCGTTGAAAAAAGTTGGTTTAGTTTTGTACCAGCCATTTTGGCTGGGTTAACCGGAATTGCTCTATCTGGAGTAATTCCGGTCATTTAATACCAGCCGACTGGAAATTGATCAGAACTAGTTATCTCTAATGAATTTTAACATGATTTTTGCATCAGTCAATAGCTAAGAGTCAGATCTATCTACCTGTGCAAAACCGTTTTTTCTGGTTAAAAATGACTTATCTATGAACAAAATACTGAACAGATTTCTGACCGGAATTACCCCGAGGCACTCTAATTTTCCTAAGTGAAGGGTAATTGAATATTTACTTTTCCAAAGATAATTGTAAATTTTTATTTACTTTCCAAAAGTAAATGGTAAATGATTCATTTACTTTGCTTTTTCTGCAAAAGGTAAAGTAAATGAAACGAAATCTCTAACGAGCAGAAAAATGCATTTATTAATATTCTAATTGAGACGGAGTATTTAGTTGATAAGTACCATGAAGATGATGTTTTATTGGAATCTAAGAATAAGTGCAGACGTATATAATCTTGAGCAAGAAATTATGTGTAATATTAATTATGTAAAGCCGATTTTACTACTCAACATCTCTTTTGCTAACAATTATTTCCTATGAGTGAAAATGATCTTCAGTAAACTTTTCTAAAAAAATTTGATGTTTGATGGAACTATCGTCAAACTAAATCTGTTTTGTCAAAGTTAGCTTATGTATTTTTTCTTCAGAGAAATTTGAATTATGTTATATTGAACATTAATAAATGCTTTTCTCTTCTTGTGAGAAATTTTATTTCATTTACTTTACTTTTTGCAGGAAAGTAAACTAAATAAATCATTTACCGTTCACTTAGGAAAAGTAAATGACTTCTATATAACCCTAGTGCACTTTTCCTGAAAAATATCCTTAGGGAATCATCTAACGGATTCCTCACGAGTCACTCGGCTGAAACGATGAGTTAACGCCGACGAGTCTTAGGCAGAAGCAGCTACAATTATCTAAAAAAGAAAGAAATTAATCTAAAAACTAAGAGATATTCCTGTTACCAGGGATTTCGCGTTTTTTCGACGATTCATCGGAGAAAATTGACTAGGGAATTTACCATTTAACTAAAGCAAAATAAATAATTCAATCATTTTCTAAGGAAAAATGACGGCTAGGGAAAGCGAATAAAACATCTCTATCTGTGAAAAAACCATTTTATGCGCATATCATGAACAGATTAAGTCACTTAGCGTACTTGCAGACACTGGCAAGTAGATCAAACGTAGCGTGATACCTGTATTAAAAGATGTTTCGCAGTGAGGATCCTCCAAAGAAACCAAGCACCTATGCGAACAAATCCTGGCAAATATCTACAGAACATGTAATTGTCAGTTGAAGATTGGACATTTTTTTTTTCAGAACGACGAAACAAAGATTTGAATGGAATTACATTACATCCTTTAACTAATTGATCACATGTAACTTCAACATCCAGCATCATTTGAAATATAAATGCTTGATTACCATCATTTTTAGATCTTTTATCACTGCAAGTGACTTTGTGCAAAGCACACGATGAGAAACTTGGAATAAAAATTTTGCGTGTTTTGAAATTCAAATCAGAATTCGAAGAGTCAAAATTTTCAGTTCCTCAAATATACTCAAAAACTGAATATAGTGCCTTCTTGAGATGTTCAGCAAAAAGGTATTGTTTCGTACTCAAAAAAATTAATCTTCAAGTAAACAAAAAATACTTCTCAGATAGCTTGCTGTTACTTCAATAGTCTCTGTATTTTTTCTTCGTTGATATATCGTTGGAATTTGGCGTTGAGATCGGAACTGATTGACCTAATGTTGATGCTATGGTGTGATTCATTTTAACAAGTCATTTATACCACTACCTAGAGATTAATTTTTTTAATGTATTTAAATTTTGTTTAGCGACTTATTTATATAGATCAAATAAATCTTTAATTTTTTTCATCGATCGTTCAAAACTGTGTACTTCGATTAAAATATTTTTCTTGTGATTTTTTTCAATTCAACTACTGCTCGTAGATTGCAACTTCATCAATGTTTTACTATACATTTCACGATGTATAACTGACGACTTTGAAGACAGCAAAATGGGAAAATTTTGAGTAGCAAAACAAGAGAGAAGAAACCTCTTATAGCTGAATATATATTTATAAATTTAAAATTTGTTTAAATCTGAAGCGAAATGAAGCTTCACGTTGTGTTCTAGCATCATGCAAGATCATTTTTGATTCTTTTATAGCTCTTTTTTACCGAATTACCCTCATGTACGTACATTATATAAGAAGAATTCTTTCTCATTAAATAGAAATTTCTATGATATTATTTTACTTTCTCAATGTCATAAATATATCTGAAGTTTTATTTCGTTCTTCATTTTAAATTTTTTTTTCTTTTATTTGCGGTTCAGAAAGAAAAGATGTAAACAGGAATTCTAGTGCCTATATAGGCTGCTTATAGGTGTTTTTTCTGGTACAAACCTTGAATAGAATTATATCTTTATGGTGTTGCTGCTCATGCGTTGAGACTTCAAAATAAGAAAAAAAAAAAAAGAAGAAAAAGTAATACAAAGGTAGATAAACCCTCACCTTTTTTTCTTCTCTATGCAGACAAAGAAACGTAGAATATGCCACGAAGAACAGGCACACTATAGTGACAGTTTGTTTTTAAAAATTAAAAAAAGGTTTGTCTTGTTCTTTTATGCACCTAATCAAACATCTTATATGACAGAGTCTAATCAATATAGGAATACTTTTTTCTAACAAAAAATGAATATGTTTTCTACCATAAGATATTGTATAAATTCAAATTATTTAATATCTATCCTTCTTTAATCAATATTTTTATTACTATATCTTGAAAAGGTTTAGAATTATTAATAGGATTTAAATTGTATAAGTTAAATAATTTTCTATTTATTCACGCTAATAGATCAAATTCTTGATTAGAAAAATATATCGGCAGTAGTTGAGTAAAAATAAAATGTAGTTGTCTTTTAGATCTTAATTTTATTATTAGTTTTTTAAACATAAAACTTTCTCGGAAGGTATGCTTACCGATACTTTAAAAAGGATGAAATATTCTTATATCCAGTGTTCGAGCTCATATGTGAGAAACTTCACATTAGAGATGAGCACGGGTACGATTTTCGTATCCATATCCGATTCGAAAATTTTTTTCCACCCGTATCCGATTTATGCCTAAAAATTTTTTCCTTTTTGTTTTACAGCTACAGAATTTTGTTTTTCGACTGATGATGTCAGATTATCATTACGTTCTCAAGTAATTCTTTTTAAAGCTTCTTTTAAACCATGTATTTTAGCTAAACTACTGTATTTTTTTACTAAAATTTTGTAGGTTTTCCACTAGAACCTTCTGACTTTCGGATAAATTTTAAAAAAATAGAACTCGTACCCGTACCCGATAACTTCGTACTCCTACCTAGCCTTCGGGTCGGGTTGCACATCTCTACTTCGTATTGGTGTCAAGAATGAGAATAATTGAGACTTTAAATTGTGACTTTTCTAAAAGAACGAAAGAATATTAAAAGACGTAGTTTGATCTCATTTTGAAAAAAAATGTCAGAATGGCCGAACATTCACTACGACTATGTCACATGACATCAACCATCTGTTAGGTTATTCAGACTCTGATCCTAGTACAAAAGCAAACCTTAGCACACCCGACTGTCTCAAGTCTTCAAAATTGAATTTTTTCTTTTCTCCTTTTTATTTGCTTTTAAATTGAATATTCTCGTTCAACAATTGAGTTAAATTTGTTTTGGACAATGCATTGTGACGATAGATTAATTGATAACATTGATAGTAGACAGATTAATGATGTCATTTACAGCAACACACCCATTATTATTGCGGTTAAGGATGAACAAAAATAGTTTTTTCGTGTATCATCGACGAAAAACATGAAAAAACGTTATTGTATACTATTTTTGTCTTCGACTCCAATCAAAATATTGTTTTTTTCAGCACAAATAGGTAAAATCGAAATTTCCCTTGATCCAGTAATAGGTATGTATATGAATAGAAACAGATGTTTGTACGGAAAGAAAGATTTGCATTTTTTTTTTTTGTTGTGTATAAAATACACAAAAGACTTGATTTAAGACTCTATGCATGCGAGAATCATTTACATATATGAAATGCATACTTTTGTAGATATAAGCGAAAAGAGCGAACAATCCAAATAAGAAATATAGAAGAGCATGAATGAAGTAAAGAAAAGAGAAAAAGAAGAAAAAAACACAAAAAACGATATTTGGGTGGATGACAAATATTTTTTTATGGATTTTGGTCTCGAGGGGGAAAAATGAATATCAAAAATGGACAAAAACCTTATAAGTTATAGAATCTAGTGAAGATATATGTCTGAGCGTATTATTGTCGTTTTACGAGGTCTTCCATCTAGCCTATTCGAATATTTTAAGCGATTAAAAGCAGAAAAATAGATGATTATTGGATAAAAATTAGCATTTATATACCCTCAACATATTGTTGCCTCTCTGATTATGTGCATACCATGGCTGTCCTTTGAGAAACATCAAAATGTTCGTTTTTCTATTTTTTTTATCATCATGATTCAGCCGTTGATTCATCGTCTAACTTGTCATCATATTATTTGTACAATAATAATAAATGGAAAAGGAAAAAAATACAAGAAAGCGTATACTTTCTCTTTTTTCTTCGTCTCGCTTATAACCTGATGACGATGAGTCTACTACACACACAGATGATTTATTAACATGCGTAACTAGACTTTTGGTCGTGCGTAAAAAAAAAAATAAAAACGAAAGAGAGAGAGAGAGAAAGAGAAAGAGAAAATAAAGAAAGACTGTTCAAAAACAAAGAGGACAAGAAATAATTGTGAGGTGAGAATTAAAACTGTTCAACGTAAAAGTTTACCCTCGTTCATAGACCTTTTCCCTTTGACACTTTTATTGCACTTGATTTATTATAATTACCTTGTTCACAAAAACTTTGTTAACTAATCAGCTTTCTATTCATTACGGTACAGTCAATAACAAACGTTTATAAATTGATGATAAATTTTATTTTATTTTGTTTTTCTATTTATACTGTTTTTAGTGCAATGTTGATCAATTTTTTGTTTTTTTGATTATGTTTAAATATGGACGTTATTATTTTAATGCCAATTTTAAATACATATTAAAGAGATTTTGAGATCTATCTATCTATGTTAACATATTGAAACGTCTAGTTAATTTTGAATTAAAGTGAATAAATACGAGCAAAAGTACATATTTAAACATAATACTTTTATTTTCTAGTAAAGTCTTAAATGCCTTTATTTTAGTGTCAGAACAAAATAACCTATTAGTCAGACAGTAAAGAAATAAGAGACGACTATTACTGATTTTCTTTTTACCTAGAATCGCACAGAAAATAGTCGCATTTCTCTTTAATCGCCTAAAAATTGACTTTGTATTATTCAATAGGCTTACTTTAGAATTTTGTAATAGAGTTTATTGTGCTCTTGTAAGATTCTGTAAGATTAAAATTTACATCCAACTAAAATGTTATAATTGTATCAAATTCGACACACTTAGATTATCTTTAACATTGTTCTATTTTTCTAGATCAAATTTCGATTAAAAATAAAAATGGAATCTCCTGCTGCCGCTGATTATATATTTAAGATTGTTTTAACGGGTGATAGTGGTGTTGGTAAAAGTAATTTACTATCTCGATTTACTCGAAATGAATTTACATTAGAATCTCGATCAACTATTGGAGTTGAATTCTCGACAAAAGAAGTACAAGTAGATGGAAAAACCGTCAAAGTTCAAATCTGGGATACGGGTAAGAGACTTTTTTAGGACTATTAAGGTATATATATATAATAAGAGTATTTCAGAAAAGTCAGAAATGAGTAGAAAATATTTTCAACTCTCTTATGCACGAATAAGTGCATACGCTTTAGTCTAAAGTCGTATATCGTTCTCGAATCATTTTTCTCAGAAAAAGAAAAAAAATGTGTTCGAAGTTGTTAGATGAAGAAAAAAAGTATCGAGTCGAATACTCAAAAAAAAGAAAAGATTCCTACTGAGTTACGCCAATGTGTTGAACATATTGGATCATACAAGTTTAATCTGATAAGAAAATCGCCTATTACTGTCATTTAATGGTCATCGTAGTCTGTCTCCTTAGAAAATATGAAAGGTCCGTATATGATGACTTGATTTTTTTTTTTGTACATGGATAGATTTGATTAGTGTATATAAAAATATTGTATTCAGAGAGAGAATGTTCAATAACATGAGTGAAATCAGAATAATTTTACTATGTTCAGTTCATATATAAAGAAATGAATTCATAAAGAGTAACTATTGCTCGTAGCAAATATGATGAAGATATATATTTCGTTTTTATCGATATTACACATGTACGGTCTGTTTAGAACTGCGGCTTTCGAATACAGGATACTCACTTAAATATAAAAGATGAAACAGGACATTGTGATCACCTGTCGTTACAACTGTATCCAGTTTATCATAAAATGAACTTTTGTTTCTAAATAAACTATAGTACCATTTCACGTAACTCTACTATCGAAACGTGTGCACATTACCGTTTTTGCTGTTAATATTTGTATTAGAATATTTGAAAATTTGAGAGGCATCTTGTTTTGTAACTGAAAAAATGTGCTCTTCACAATTCGCTCTGAGATTAATTTGAATCATTCGATCTTCTTTGCATTACAATCCAAATATCCGTATCCTCGAAAAATAAAAGGAATTTTAATTTTGAACTTACTACATTTTAATTATAGTGTAAAGAAAGAACTGTGTATCGAACGTAGAATCGATCGATTTTGTTTTGTTTCATTTTAGCTGGTCAAGAACGTTTTATGGCAATAACGAAAGCTTATTATCGAAATGCCTACGGTGCATTACTTGTATTTGACATTCTGAAAGCATCTACATTTCAAAATTTAGATCAATGGTAAGTCTTATAGCCTTTATGTCAGAAATGTCAAATTTTAATGAATAACGAATATTAAGATGAGCATATAGTCGAATAATTCTCACTGTTTGCTCAGAATCAATATTCATCAAAGATTTCTATGTTTCAGGAAAATTTTTCTTCGAAAAATTCCTTTTTAGAAATTCTTTCACTCAAGTGATTTGTGAGTAAATAATCTGATATAATTAAGATCAATTTCTAAAATAAACTCTCTCGATAAAATAAGATGTTGTATAACTTTGAGTAGTGTTTGAATAAGCTATGAAATGTTTACTGGAAGTACTCAAATCTGAAGAGTTCGAGATCTATATATTCTCACCAACTTCGCAGACTAAAGCATCCTACTAGGAACCATTTAATTTTATGAAAATCCTTGTATCAGAAATTATGTCGAATTCCTATGAAAAAATTCTATAAGATCCTATAATATCCTGTCACACGAATTCTGTCTGTTTTCATATGATCTTACAGGATCAGGTAAGATCCCACCAAACGATCTGATGGGATTCGATTGCAGAATCAATTTGACCTCCAACACTCCAAAGTAACCTTTTTGCTTGTAGTTTTCAACATTTACCGAAATTCTCTATAACGAATGAATTTTTGAATGTTTTTAAATTGAGGCGAACTTATGTGACTATAAGTTGACAATTTTATCGGGAAAAATGTGTTTTGATCACCAAAATTATTAAGTGCGAAATGATCACTAAAAAATAAGACATTTGATCACCAAATTTATAATTAATTAGATGAATGAAAAGGAAAAACAAAATAGAAAATTTGATCACTGAGTAATTTGGTCAATCAAAAAGCATTAAAAAATGATCAAAAAAATGTCTTATGATCTTTTTTGATCAAAATTGTTTTCTCAACACACAATCATAGATTCATGGATTTTCCTTGGGCGATCTCCATCTTATCTTTTTCGTAACACTTGCTCTATAGAAAAATAACGTCGACTGGCAGGCATTCTGTAGGTCTGCTAACCCTCGTAGATGTGTGCATACTTGTCGAAAGATTTCAATTTTTATGTGACAGCGCTACAAAAACCTGTTGTAAATTCGATATAGTAGAACTGTTCATACCTGCCAGATGATTCTCTGTTTCTTCAGCTTGCCTTACAGTGCTATAAGAAAAATCTTTCTCAATGAAAAAATCTATGACTGCATGTTGAGAAAAACAATTTTGATCAAAAAAGATCATAAGACATTTTTTTGATCATTTTTTAATGCTTTTTGATTGACCAAATTACTCAGTGATCAAATTCTCTATTTTACTTTTCCTTTTCATTCATCTAATTAATTATTAATTAGGTGATGAAAAATATTGATACCCATTTTATCTAATTTCCAATTTCTAATCTAGTTGTGCGAAAAGAAAGATTTGTTACTTTATGTTTATTAGACATTTATTAGATAAGATGTAAAACTGTTGAATGAATCTGTTCTTCTTCTCTTATTAGGTACAATGAAGTACGAGCAAATGCTGGTATTGACTGCTGCGTTGTTTTAATCGGAAACAAATCTGATCAACGACATATTCGAGCTGTTATGAGTGATGATGCGAAGAAATACGCCGATGAACGAAATATAAAATATATGGAAACATCAGCATTAGATGCCACAAACGTCGAACAAGCATTTCGTATACTAATTCAAGACATTTATAAATTTTTTGCAGAAAAAATGGATTTAATGAAAGACGATAATAAACAAATTGTCACTTTAAAACAGCCTCAACAGCAACAACAACAGCAATATTTACCGAATTCTGCTGCGAACCAGTGTTGCTTCTCTTGAAATCAATGTTTTCACTTGTTTTTCTGTTGTGAAAAAACACTCAGTTTGTTTTTCTTCAACTTTTCTAATTTCTCTGTCAGAAAACTTCGCTTTTTCCGTATTGATTTTTGTTGATTTTTTTATTCCAGTATTTTTCGCATACACGGATAAAGAAAAGATTAACGTCGACAAAGGCGTTGTATTTGAAAATGATCAAAATCTTTATGGTAAATATAAAAAATTAATGTAATGGTTGAAATTAAAGTAAGAAATTTATGAATGAAAGACAGTAGTCATCAATCTAAATTTTCTGTTGGATATTCGAACCCTGCAATTTGGACATAGCTTTTACTATACTTTACATCGAGATTTTAATAACGTCTTATTAATAGTCTCATTTCAGTAAAATCTGGAAATATCTAAAGCTATACTCCATGTACAAGATTCAATGATTCAATTAACTACATCTCTTTAAAAATTCACGGCAGGATCGCGTAACGCGTTCGCTGTAAGACTCGCGATGATTATCGATCGCGACTTTTTCGCGCTCATTTCAAAAATCGATCTTGACCTTCAAGTATTTTACTATAGTTGCTGTTTATCCGCGTTTTCCGTCTAATATCAATCATGCTACTTTTTCCGCGAACGCAGACGAATGGCATACGCACGACACGACTACACGAGACTATATTAGTTATGCCGCAAGCTATTATTATTTATTAAGATTTTCAAAATTTTTCGAAAAATTGGTGAGAGTTATGGGAGTTACAATTTTTTTGAAAAATAAGAGTTGGTCACCATCGTGCCGTGACAATGGCAACTTCTTAACGATCGCGGCATCAGGTCTGCGTTAGCGACGTGAATGAAGCAAAAAAGTAGACTTGGGCTGACTTGTAGACCAATAATCAGAATTTTTTAATTTCTAGATACAGCTTGTTACGGAGAAACTCCGGCAGACTATTGCTATTTTACATAGGATTTATGCTGCTTTCTCAGTGCTACTTTTTTTCAGATTCTATGTAACTTAAAGTATTCGTTGTTAGAGCTACAGGGATACTGTTGTGCATAGTGCGGCAGCATAGACATGCGCTGTTCATAGTGAGAGTAATTACCACTTTAGCGGATGTGCAGCATGATCGCATTGTTCAAGACTTAAAACTTTTAAATTGTCAGAAGAACATCAATAAGTAGATGTCACAGGGTGATTCTTTTGAAAGTGTACCAGAGTTTAAATCGACTTGATCAGTTCGAAAGTAACAGGACTAACACAACTCGAGCTCCTGATGAGGAATATCACATTTAAAACATTTTAAAACAACGGTATCGTGGCTTTCGAGACCTGTGAAGATCCCATTTCCCAGCAGAACAGACGTTTTCTGCGCATTTTTATCACTTTTTAGCGAAACACTTTTAGGAGCTGGTACCGCCAGATTAGAATCTATATGTGCAACGCTGCAAAGGCCCAACGGACAAAAAGTTCCGAAAGTCCAAAATGCTAAGCACGTTCTCAGAAGAACTATTTTAAAAATCGTTTTTTCCGAAAAGTAGGCCTTTTTTGTAAACCATATTTTCCCCCTCAAAAATCATGTCAGCACACGATAATAAGATACGCATTCGACGCGTCATTTCAAGCTCTATCTGATGAAGTGGTTCTCATTGCGATTAAAAACCATCTGATGATGATAAAACGAATTGTTGGGATAAAGTCGGCGTAAACGCGGTACGTTTCCGAAGGAACAATCTCACACATATCAAAGCTGCATCATGTTTTCGATGTTTCGATCAGAGTAGTATACACCACCACAAAGCATCCATTGTCGACTTTAAGCTTTTAATTTGGCATGCTTAAGCAGATTTATCTTTCAACTAATTTTTATGCTGCGATGTTATAATATTCGAGCATTCACCCACAATAAAGTCTTACAAACACTGCATGAACTCTCTCCACTCATCTTGATTGCCGTTCATGAAATTAGATGATTCCATTATGTGTTCCATTATTCCCTATGAACATCTTGTATCAATCACCAAGCCAAAATAAGTAAGCGAGAGAATCTAGCAGAAACGATAGCTGTAGTGCCTGCTTCCAGCTAGACCAAAAGTTACATTTATCTAGCTACGAGCTAGTTGAGATCGTGTTCTAGCTAGAAGCGAACGCTGCATTGATAGTTCAACAGCTGCTTGCACCCGGCTAGAGTTTCAAGCTGGATAAATGTATGCTTAATTTTGATGCGAGCGCCCGCTTCACGATTTTTTCTTGTGGTTGGGGATTTTGGCACGAAAGTCGTTACATATCGTTCCTTTTATATATGTGTACTTAGTTGTTATCAATATATTGGAAATGTATGTGCAAAGACTCGATTGTTCAGAGATTATCAGACATTTCGAAATATAGATCACTTAAACAAACATCGTCTGATTTACCATTGTCATTCTACTCTTATATTAATGATTGCACTCTACTCTGTGAAATGCCAACTGCGTTCTGATATGAATTACTGTCAAAAACTTCACTTGTAATTAGTTTTATACAATAACAATACTCGCTCGCGAACTGAGTTAGTTAATGGACTCTATCAAACGCTATCAAATAAATGGTCTGAAATGCTTGATAATGTGATATTATTATGTACCGCACTCTGTCCTGTTTCAGATAATGCGCACATTTCAAGTACGATTCAAGATGCCAATTTTTCGAACTTTTGGGTCCGAGATCTTAAACCATCCTAGGAAGTGAACGGACAATGAATATACCACTTTGTTGTATAACTTGAGTACTTTATTGCCGTGCACTTCAGTATTAATGGGAATATGGAATGACAGAGTTACAGAGGCCAAAATTTGCTACTCTTGTCTATAAAGCAGCCCTGTCTTAAGGGCCCCCTCAGAAATAATCTCCGACACCATACATCCGATCTTGACGAAACTTCGCATAAATGTTTGGCTTAATGAGTTACGGGAATGAAAAATTTTTTTTGTCTCCAAGTCTTACGGTTTAGGAGTTTTCTAGAGATCAAGGTCCAAAAAGGACCCTAAAGTGTTTCCCAAAATTTTTTAATATACTTCAAGCTGGAGAGTTCGGATTTGTTTTGTTTTAAACTAGACATCTAACTACATAGTATGACCGGCGCCGATTTTTCAATTAAGCCTTTATTGGTTTTCCAGGCAACCAACAACCTTCAAAACCCGAAAAAGCCTTCCGGATTTTCTAAAAATCTTTAATTTGATAAAAAACTAAGACCTAATTCAAAAATCGGCGCCGGTCAGACGATATAGTTTCTTCTCCTCTTTTAAACAAAAAAAGAATGAACTCTCTATGACAAACCGCTATAAAAAATCTTGAGAAATATTTCAGGTGTCACCCTTATATAGAGAAAATGCTGTATTAAACGCTGTATGAAATACTCAATTTTAGAACTTCTAGGAAAATGCCTGTAACTTTTTGATGCAGAGTCATACAGAGTTGTGCGAGGTCTTATTTTGATCAGAAACGTTTGCTCTACAAAGCTGTGTGTTCAGAAAAATTTTAATTGGATTAGTATTCAGGAAAAAGTTATTATGTGGAGATCAGTTTTTCGAGGCTCCTCGAAAACTTGTTCAGAATCCGGGAAAAACCACTTTTGTAACCAAAAGCGATACAGATTCTGAAAGGAGACACTTCATGCTATCTTCCCATGTGCTTATGTCAAAACCGATATTTTGACCCAAAATCACCATTTCTGAGGGGGGCGGGCCCTTAAGCAAAAAGATATTTTACATACTAATTGATAGATAATGGGAATGATTCTAACGCATGTCTCATCTGCCAGCACTTGAACTTATCTGTACGAAAAAGCTATATTTTAAAGTAAACGATTTTTGCATCATGTATTATTTGCTTTCTGACCTCGGTGAAGGGCCATTCCACATGACGGTCAACTTCTGTGTGATTTTGATGCGATTTGTAAAATTCATAGTTCACGTAATCTACACACTTTAGTAAAAAGTGGTTATCTTTTGATATATTCCGTTTCTTAATTGAATCATCTGTTGAACTTCGCCTGATTGTCATTTCAACAGTGTTTAACTTAAAAAATAAGACGTTCCCCAATTCTATAGGTTCACGAAAAAATTGATCCTTAGATGGAATTGCCATGTATTATCCATTTTTTTGCCTCTATTTCATGTAGTTTTCTATAATCCATTTATGTATGAATACTTCAGTAATACGTACAAAAATATGTTTCATTACGTCTTCGGTTCGCTCATTAACTATTGCTTAATTGTTGAAACTTTACTATTTTGAAATCTATAGCACGTGGCAATATAACACTTTCATTCATTTTTTTCATAAACGAGATCAGTTTCACAATGATTGTTGTTCAAATCATTTAATGTTTTCTGAGAACGACATCACCATCCACCTTAGCAATACCATCGTTTGTCTCATATTTTTGCTGTATTCGTTTACTTCTATAAACTTTTTTCTTTCGCTTTTTTCTTGAGGCTCCACCACCACCTATGTCTGTAACTTCATTAAATATTGGTGGTGAATTTGACTTATCTTCGATGTGAATCTGGTCTGGTGAAATGTGTTCATAGCCTGTCGGAGAAAACGATTGTTCAAAGGGAGATGGCCTCACTTCTCCTTCTAATCCACCGTACTGTTTTTCGGGACGTATTCTTGTCGACCCTGTTTGTTCGATGAACTGCTGTTTGATAACAGAGTCACTTACCAGAACTGTTCGACCTAAAATAGCAAAAAAATTCTACTAAATACGATTTTTCAGATTTAGCACTTTTACCAATTAATTTATCTTCACAAATATCTTCTTTTGCATTTCGTTTATAAACATCAATGAGCACTGTTAGACGATTAAATTCATCTTTGAAAATAACAAATCGAAATAATTGGTCATAGGCTGTTTCAGTTTGCTCAATGTTAACGATAGGTCCACATTTTTCGTACAAAAATGGTTGTTTTAACTGCGATGATTCAATGTGTTCTTGTGGTATAACGGGAAATTCATCAACAGCAACAGTAATATGAACATAGACATGAAATAGGTAAGGGACATTTCCAGTTGAGCGAAGACTATGGATGTAAACATTCAACATTTGTTCATCCAATGTGTACCAGACCGTAGAACGAATTTGAATGAGACCAATTGCCGATGGATCACCATATTCTAAAATGAGATAAAAAAAACTTCAGTTGATCCATCATGACAACGATAAGCCAAAAACATTCCTGGAACAAGATTTCGCCAAATGGCATGTCCTTTCGGTCGTTGTGCCATTATCAAATGATCGAGAGGATAATAAACACTTCCAATTGGGGTTTCGAAAACATCTCGATCAATTTCATGTACAGTTAATTTCAGAACATTTTCTTTAAATTCTACCAAGTTAATTGAAAACTGCGTTTCCGAATTATAATTTGGATTTGATGTATCCTTCACAATATCTGTGACATACGCTTTGTTCAAAGTTGGTATTATCTCGGCTCGAACGAAAGTTGTTGGCTCCCTTGTGTAGTTGGTATTCGACAAAGAACGCAAACATCGAGCTTTCAATATTGTTAAATAGAGTAAACGCATGTAGGGATTATATTCAAGAAAAAACCATAAACGACCTAAAGGAAATGCACACGTACATATAAGTTTCATGGTAAGATTTACAATAGTAATGAAAACCCATTCACCCAAATTAGGACATGGATACGGTTCGGATTCTCCAAAACCTTTTTGAATTAATTTTTCAACAGCTTCTGGTAAACATCTTGATTCACGTCTTTCTTTTTGCTCTTTACAATGTTGAACGGTGATTAAATCTGGATAATTTACTAGTGCTGGTGTACGTGTTTCTGTCCAGTCGCATTTGTCAATGTCAAGCGGAAGTGTAATTGGCACATCTTTATTATTGTTGGCATGACACGATGAACTACGAGCGACTGGATGTTCACTGGCGTAAGATTGATTGCAATTTTTATCATAAAAATGAGCTAAAAGCAACCCTAGTAAAACCTTTTTACCCAAGCGCATGACTTTTACCAGATAAAAATCGTGTGGTGAGGAGACATTTCTTATTTATGCAACATTTTCGTTTCCGTTTCATGTTCGTAAGGTGGAAATTATTAAGGAGATACCTCACACGTTTTGCACGACTAAGAATCTCACATGAATGGAAGCAAGGATTGATATCTACTCATCTCATGCACAGGAGAAAAAAAAGCTCCACTAGAGAAATTTATAAAAGATGCAGAACATATGCCGCTTTTAACTTGACAATAGTCAACTACCGTTCTTAGCTTTAGCTTTGTCGGGAGCCAATTGTTTGTGATTGGTAAATGAATCTGAATGCAGTGGATATTGATTTAGTTTTTTGCTGTTCTTAATGAGCGAAAGTTTCGCTACAGCTTGAGTATCATAACTAAGGTTTTCTGTTGATTCTTGTGAAAAATTATTCAGAAATTGATCATGTGGAGCAGAACATGGTGAATCAGAAGTAGAACAAACGGGTTGATAATTATTATAATTTCCACAGAAATTGAATGATGAATTTGTCTGTAATTTGGAATCCATAGTGCCTGATGACGCTGGATATTGTAATTTATAACGTTGATTAGCTAACGATGAAGGACTCGAGGATTGGTAACATTGTCTAAAAACGGAGAACCGTTTTATTATGCATACATACGGTGATAGTTGGCAAGGCAAGTAGTATTTTTATGAAACAGCAGAGTAAATTAGAACAACAAAATTTTTATATTTGAATTACTGATAATTCATGTTCGATTGTTTGGTTGTTGTCGTCATGATTTGTGGATGTGGTTTTAATAGTTCGTAAGCTCTCGATGTCAAACGTACATAACCTGGTCGAGATAGAATATACAATAGAAATAATCCAAATAATAGAGCTCCTAAAAGGAGCCACCAACGACGATAATGATGATGATAAGAACAACCAATATCACATAGCCATCTAGATGTTAAACATTCTGAATTACACAACATTGTTGCTAATTTCAAAATTTCGTGCCGAACTAGTCAAGGAATAAAATCGAGCGCGCGCATCACTGTTCATTTTTTTTTCAATATTGATGATTTCGACGAATTTATTTTTTCTAAACGGATAAGACAGTCAGTCCATTTAACTTCAGTAAGTATTAATATTGATTGGTCATCTAACACTCGTTATAGCTCTACTGAAGTTTGAAACTGAAGTTGAACTTTTTATCCGGCAGGATGAACACCACTAGTATAGTGAAGATGGTGTTGTTGTTACAGGTATATATTACTATTAGTTTTTGGTAACATCATTCGGGTGATATTATTAATTACTCATAGACGATTAACACCAAGAAAAGGTAGGTAATTGAGTAATTATATAAAAAATATTAAACATTTTGATTGTATTTTTAATAGTTTCTGTAACTATGTTCAGATGTTTGATTAAGCATTATGTACTGTAACCTCTCAAGAACACCCTCTTCCTCATTATTCGAAAAATTGATAACACTTGCATGTATATTGTCCTGCACATGTCCATTAGAAAAGATTAAAGGATTACCGATAATCTAGAGATTAACTAATGTGCAACTAAGAAAATGGAGTGTACTAGTGAAAATAGTACATTAATATTGTTTTACGTTTCTCTCAAAAACGTGGTTTTAATCAGTCAGCCCAACATGACTTTACTACGACTCCCTTAAAATTCTGTTCGATCAGGATGAAAATTTTACTGTAGGTAGGTGACGTTTATTTTCGTCAAATGTTATACCTGTCTATTGGCCTTATCATTCCTCTTTTACTCTCTTTCTGTACGTGATTTAATAAAATATCTCTTTCAGTTATTTTCAAGAAACATAAACGAATCTTCTCCTTTCGGTGTTTTCCTTTCGATATTTTCCATCTTCCCATTATCCGCTTTCGACGTTTGCCTTTTCGGCATTTTGCTCTTCTACATTTTACTCTTGACGTTTTCCTCTTTTTTTAATGACATTTTTCTTTTCGACGTTTTCCGTCAATCCCGTTTTTGGTTATACGCATATTCTTATATAATTACGATTATTCAAGCTTGAATCAACTTTTTCTTGTATTAGTATGTTTGTCTAATTTTGTGTGATCATAAAAATGCTATTTTTCTAGGTCAAAAATTATTAGAACAGAAATAAATTTTATATTTTGGGCGGAGACGGAAATTTACTAAGTGGCAGAGGTAGAAAGGCAGAGGTGGAAGCGGAAAATTACTCATAATCGAAAACTCGGCCTATGGGAAACTGCATCCAACACTTTGCCAAATCAGTCTGAACAAAAATTTATCAGTTTAGGATAAAATTGACGTGAGCCCAACTTTAGATCTTCATTCTGTAATAAGGTGAAAAAAAGAGTAGTACACCACTTGAAGTGAGGGTAGCCTTTGTTTTAGCTTTGTTCACAAAACCATGCCTCATGGTTGTCTTCAAAAATAATTCACGATCATTTTCCTTGGAGCTAAACCTAGTGCCAAATTCAGCAACACCACTATGAGAGCAGAAACACGTTGAATAGGTAGGACTATTTCAGAAAGCCTTCTCACACCCATGCGTTTTCTTTTGAGAGTCGAAAATGACTAAATACACTTAGCACGATGAAACAACAGACTCAATAATAAAATAAATTTCATTGGTCTTCTAAGTCAACTTTCTTATTATTCCATGAGCCATGATAATATTTGCATTAAGCATACATGACACGATCGCAGACTTGAAAGGAGAGTCTTATTTTATGATGGTGATTTTGTGATTGTCCGAACTGATCACACTAAATTCACGATTCACGGGCAATTCTTGTATCCTTGACACATAGGAATCGTGTATATTACACTACGATCGTGCTGGAATCGCGAAGCCGTATCGTGATTTGCAAATTTCTGAAAAAACAGTAGAAATTGTATACTATATGTGTGAGCAAACAAAACGATGGATGAAATTTGTCATTGTCTCTAATTTCCATTATATTAATTACTATTGTCGATCTTGTTTACCGTATAATTTATTTAATCAATTCAATCCAATTCAAATGACGTTTATTTTGTAATTAGATAAAGCCTCACAATTAAAAGCCGAAGGTTTGTAAGTATATGTCACCATGAAGAAGAGAAAAAAAGAAGCAGAAAGGGGTAAAAAATAGACAAATTAATATGAAAAAGAGAAAAAGGTAAGAAATTCTTGCATTAGTTAGTCAATCTTCAAATATTTTCTAAGCTCGTATTTAAAAGCACTGATAGAAAAAGAAGAAGTAACAGCACGTAAGAGGCTATTACAATTGATGCACGTTTTGACAAGAAAGAAAGATTTCAATGAACTTTTAATTCTACTAGCTATCTGCCATCGACAATGATTATTGTGTCTCTCAGAGAATCTTGTTATCAAAAGTTTGATTAAGTGGAAATATGAAAGCGTACTGCTATCAATCATCATTTTTATGAAATTCCATAGCTTTAAATACTTTACTTCATCATCATCATCATTCGGCTGCGAACAATCTGGGTTTGCAGACGACAATAATCTTAGCCCAATTCTCTCTGTTGGCGGCAGCTTTTCTCATTTCGTTGACCGATGGCTGAGTATAGTTGTTGATCAGCTTTGCGATGTATTCAGGATACACTACTGCTTAGTACATTAATACTTTTCTTCTCTTCAGTAAATTCGACAACTTCAATTTTTTTTATTAAATTGAACTTAAACTTGAGAAGATATAGTCATTCATTATGACTCTTGCAGCTATTCTAAGAACTGAATTTAGCGGTGTAATCAATCAATCACCCATCGGTATCATGTATGATTTGACAATTTCTAACTATTATTCATTATACAATTAACTAGAAAAAAACTTTTTTTTTTGTTACTTTATGGGAGAAGCAAGACGTCAAAATTTAAGTACTTGTAATCCGCTTATTTTGACTTTTTTAATAAAGTATACAGGGATCTCAGATCGAAAAGACGGAAATGAGAAAAAAAAGTTCAAAATCAGACAAAAATCAGAAAAACAAATTGGAAATCAGAAAAAAAATCAGAAAGTTGTTTGTTCTCATACCGAAATGGTTAGTTGTACATAAAAAATTTTAGAAAAAAAAATTATAAATCAAATTTTCGTTCAATATCAAACAAAGATTCTAAATAAGAAACGAGACAGAAAAAAGTCTCAAAATAAGATTTTTTCTGCTAAAATCAGACGATCTAGGATCCCTGAAAGTATATCACCGGAAAAAAACTAAAGTTGGTTTTGAGGTGCTGAAAAGTGTTTTTTTTGTATTCAGCACACCCGATAACCCAGAAGATTTTCTGTTTTTGGCGAGGGGTACTTCCAAAAGTTTAGGAAAAATTTTCAAACGAAATGATGTAAAAAGTTTCCATGAAACAATAATATTAGTTTGAAAATTTTTCCTAAACTTTTGAAAGTACCCCTCGCCAAAAATAGAAAATCTTCCGGGTTATCGAGCGTGCTGAATACGAAAAAGCACTTTTCAGCAACTCACAAATAACTTAATTTTTTTTGTTTCGATGATATACACAATTAAATATCATATTAAATGACATTTAGCATAACCTCGTTGTCAAAAGATAGGCTTTTTGTGCCGATACGTTAATGATTTCTACTGAAATAGATTTTGAAAACGATGTTGAAATTATTGAACTCTCTGGAAGAAAAAGATTTTATGTAAAAGCTATTTTATCTTCATAGAAAACAGAATAATGTGTCTCCAAGAGAAAGAGTAGTAGAGAAATTAAAATAGAACGAACGGTGTGTATCAGAATAGTCTCAGAAATCAGATCAACGTCAATATCGACAAGCATTCTGTGAATATCGACAAGCATTCTGTGACAAGCATTTGATATTTTTGTTTATTTTTATAAATTCTACATAAAAACTAAGTGATATTTGGTAAGTTTCTAGTTTCAGTATGAGTTTTTAAATTAATTTTTAAGTTTTTTAGCGTTAATTGAGTAATCGTTATTAAATCAGTAATGGAGTTTTTAAGGAAATATCAAAGTGGCAGAGAAAAGTGTATGGGGAATATTGATTAATAGAAGTGAATATATATGTAACCATCTAAGTTGGAAACATAAAACTACATATTTCTTTTGACACATACAACACACCTAATAAATATCTGTTTTGAAAGGGAAATTATTTAGAAGTCAATTTTTCTTATTTATTTTTATATAATACAGTTTAAAAATGTGATGCATGCATAAGATAAGAAGTCTGTTTTTTTACTCATCGAATTAGATATAGTTGTGTAATTTCTCTAGTTAAAAACGTATAGATAAAGTAAAACAGAAAAGCAACAAACTTGTCAAGCGCGTAATTGTCAAGAAAAAGACGCAAAGTCAATCAAATAACAAGCTCTGACTTTGATAATACATCATTCATGGACTAATCATATGTGTTTCTGTGACCTAGATAATGTTTGATTTCAAAATTAATAAGATAAAAACTATGTTTCACTACGGTAAGTTACTTGATATACAAAATCCTTGAGATACATGATTATTCGATGTTAGCTTTTGCCATATGTATTTTTATGAGAAAATCGCATTCTTTCAATTTTAAACCTATTGAGCTTACTATATAACATTTCGTAAAAAGAAAAGCACGTTCAACATGATGCTTAATGGCATTCATATTGAAGTAAGAAATCAAGCACATAATCACTTTTCAAAGAAGAATATGTGTTTGTCACTTCAAACATTACAAACACAAAGAGAGAAATCACATACTTGAATCTATTTATATAGTATCATGTCTTTCAAAGTATTAAAAAATTCATCAATAATTGGGCAAGAAGGCGTAAGTTCACCTTAATTTCTACCAACAATCAAAAATTTCATATCTCACTTAAAATCTATCAAAATCAATTGAAAATTTCAATCTAATATATTTATTTTCTAACATTTGTACATTTGTAGCGCAGCATATATTAACGATTATGTTATTCGCCGCACATCTCAAAGTTACTATGCTTAAATCTCGATGGTATACAATAATTTTGGACATATTATTGATGTCAATGTGTCTCGGATCATTCATTCAATAGCATACTTCTACATTGTGACACACAGTATAGTTCGTCTAGCTTGTCAGAAAGATAGTATACGATCAGGCAAGCCTTCTATCTAGACGTGTAGTTGACGATTAGTGAAGAGATGGTTGATCATCTTCGAAGATTGTCAGATACAGAATGGTATTGCGCTACTCAAAACTGATATATCTCTTAGAAAGCTTGTCAGAACCTTTCACTAGTAGCGGTAGCCTTAAAAATTTGTTGCTGCAAGCAACATTTGCAATTTTTATAATGTGTCGTAACTGTTCTGATGTACCTGATTTTAGTGTTCACTATAGCCTTGTTTTATCTACATGTATGATTATTGAAATTCATTTATGATTGCTACGTCGTCTACCTTAGTGTTTCTTATCAAAAACAAAAATAATTACTTTTTCTCCATTGTTTAATAGGAAAATAGAAGGAAAAAAAGAGCTGATGATGATGATAGATGAATCGTTGCTATTACGAGAAGATGACATAGAAGAAAAAGAGGCAGAAAAGTAGTTGTAGTGGTACATCATAAACACGGAAAGACTAAATATTCTTATTTAGTAATTAATTTCTAACAGTTGTTTTTTTTTCTACTACAGGAAACGAATCTTTTTTGAAAGATAAGTTTTTTTGATGAATTTGATATCATGAGCAATTCTTTTGTTCGTTATAAGGATTAAAGCTTGTGACTAAATTTAGCACATGATTGTTTTAAATTTTGCGTTTTTAATTTCATGCATTTTTATAGTTAGTTTAACAGATATTTTGTTTATTTTAGTCTACTTTTTTTTAGATATTAATTAAGACATTTCTTGACTATTGATGATAAATTGTTTATTGTTATTAATTTCTATTCTTTTTCAATTTTGTACATATGTATTATCTAGGGGATATTATGCTTCAACCAATCTTCAATATCAACAACCTTCTCATCATATTTCTGATTGTATAGACAGATCATGTGATATTCGAAATAATATCACATATGTATCATTTGCATTGATAATTCTTATTATTATTTTTATTTGGATTTTTTGTGAATGCTGTATAAGTAAGAGTACTAAATTTTATTTTAATTCTAGAAATGATAATTGTCTTTTTATTTATTGTTTTAGAACGTAAACAACATCCTGTGAAATATAAACCATTGTTAACACATCGTAACTATATTAAAATGAAAACAATTGTTTATACAAATGATAATGAAGAAGAAATATTTCAGACGGGTGTATGGTCAGGACGATATAAAAATACGAGAGGACAATGGATAAAATTGCCAAAGTATAGGCTAAAATTTATTAAAGGGCGAAAAATATTATTAGGTCAAGGTGATGATAACATTGGACAATATAAAATAAACGGTGTCTATTCATCTGTAAATTTAAGAATGGCTCTTACTGTTACTTATATTAAACTAGCTCGTGATAATGAAGAAATTTTATATGAAGAAGAAAATAATTATCAACGAACACCAAGCGATTATAAAATTGAAGTTCAACTATATTGGGATACTATAACAAAACAATTTTATGGAAAATGGTATGTTGAAAAACAAAAGTTATTTGGAAAATGTGAACTTCGACAATGTACTCGAAAAATATTCAGAATATCGGAAAATAATAGTACAATAGTATGACCAGAGTGTACAAAGGCAATTAAAAAATTTCTCGACAATATCAGATCAAGAGATGATGTCCATTGATTTCAGACAGTGTCTACTATACTAGAATATTTTTACAAAGCTAAAACTAAGAATTTGTGCATATTTCAAATGTTCTTTATTGTACTGACGCTGTCCAATAGTATAAAATAGTCAATTTGATTCGTATTTTAAAATCTGTTTGAAAGAGAGTGTAGAGAAGGAGTCTATTATTTCAATTTTTCTTTGTTATTGTAACAAAGATTTTAATTGTGATGTTATTTTGTTTAATACAATTACCATACCGATTGATTGTTGATGTAATAACTTGTTTCAAGAATAATAATGATTCTTGGTGTTGTTATCGTTAATTCAGGATCCTCTTTATGATTCAAACAATAACACATGTATTTTCTTAGATTTTAAAAATATTTTTGTGTGTTGAAAGTGATAAAACAATATTGACTAGTATATTGAACACCAAATAGGCCTAATTAAATCATCATTGATGATAGTAACGTGAGAACGATCCATGTCGGTTCACTTCCAAATTATTTGGATAAACTATTTAATAGTTGGGAAAAAAATGTACAAGAATCGAAAAATCTGGCGAAAGCAGCTCCTGTGGGACTAAAATTTGAAACTCCTTATGGTATAATACATTAGATAGATTAGATAATAATAATGCTGAATAGAATTTGATCTGTTTTAAAAATCTCTATGTAAAGTAAACCATATTACGAAAGTTAGAATTAACAAAATTAGGTAGATTTTGCAAGATTCATAGGTGGCATCTCCTCGGTTCTACTCAGTTTCACATGGAAAATGGGAACAAAACAGGGAAAAATATTTAAAAGAGAACGATTTTCCACTTTTAGAAGAACGGTTTGCGTTTTTTAGAGAACGGATATTTTTTATAGCTGAAAGGAGAACGGTTAACATTGTTTGGAGAACGGGTTTTTGAATTTGTATGTATGATTCATATGTGATATAGTCTCCTATATAGATAGTCTCCGTCATCAGTCATCATGAATTTCCAAATTATCGAATCAGTAAAATGTACATGTTATCTGTTTACGACAGAATAAATAGATGGACGAGTCAACGAACGATAATAGTTTAATAAACTAGATATTTGAGCAGGAGATACTTGTTGAGGTTGCTCATTTTGTATAGCTAAACGAACTTGCGATTAAGTTAATTTAGCTGCCACGGCTCGTTGAACAATCTTACGAACAGGTGATAGTATGCGTGTCGATTGTAAGCGATTATGATGATTGTGAGTGCTTGATGTGCTAACAGTTATTTGTTGCGAACTGTTGATAATTGCTTGTACTTGAAAATCGCAATCAGGATATTTTTTGTAAGACGAACACCGATAAGATAATTTTATACCAGCCAAGACTTGTTCTGATCGAAATTTTGATACTGAATTGCTTATAATAAATTCATTTAACATATCTTTATTTGTAAATCTATCGACTACTTTCCAAACGCGTCTCGGCATAACTTTAGACTATGTTGAATTTCGAACTGACTGTGTTGACTGCGTATTTATACTTTATGTTTTGTTGAAAGATGATGCAATTCATCACGAAAATGTTGTACAGTCATATCATGTACAGTCTAGATCTAACTCCCCTCTACTGTAGTTATCATAGTTTATACCACATGCTTTATTTTTAATTTCGTCAGAAAAATTCAAAAACCGTACTCTAAACAATGGTAACCGTTCTCTTTTCGGTCATTCGTTCTCCTTTCAGCTATAAAAAATATCCGTTCTCTAAAAAATGCGAACCGTTCTTCCAAAAGTGGAAAACCGTTCTCTTTTAAATTCTTGTCCACAAAACAGTTCTGGAATTTTCAAAGTAGAATAAAATCGAAAAGCTTTTTTTTTAAAAATTTCACTTCGATTATTGTCTTGATCACAGCCAACAAGCTGTGAAGTTTATTTTCTTAATTCTTAAAACTATTCAAATCTTTTTCAACCAGATGAATGTTAAAAATAATTTTTGATAAAAAAGAAGTCAAGTGGAAACGCAAAAAATATTTCACTTCACTTACCATATTCGTGATTATGTTGAAAAGAAAAACTTTCACTTTCTCACGGACATTTTTTCCATTTTTCAAGTCCCATTGCACCATATCGGAGATGGACAAATTCGGATACTTCTAAATCCAATTCAAGTCTATGTTCATCTAAAGATTTCTCGAATCTGGACTTGGACTGTCCTATTTCTGATACATATCTGTGATCATTTTCATCCATTTTGTGTATTGTATATTTTACATCCATTCTTTCTTCCTTTACATAAACTTCGGAAAGCTCGATGATATCGTCACACATCTTTATTTCTGTTATAATAAACTTCTTTCCGAAAAGTTTGTTTTCCTCAAGTGCAAGTTACGATCAGATTCGAAAAAATCAAGTGAAATTCGAATCCATCAAAGATCTCTCGAATCCATACTTAAGTCAAAGCGGAATTTGGACTTATCTATCTCGATTTAAGACAAAAACAGTAATACCGTCGTCAAAGCGTTTCTGTAATTCCCATGAGATTGAGAAGATAAACTCTGTCACGCTTTACTAAGATGTTAAACGTTTTATTTGTTAATCGTCTGAATGAAGATTCGCAAAAGAAATCCTTACCTATAGTCGATGAGACCGGCACTTTTTAGCCAGATTGTGGTGCAGTCGTAAACCCGAACATCCACGAACTGTATAGTACACGCAAGCAATTAACTGATCGCAAAAAAAATTTTGATCGATTCGAGATTTTTGCCATGTTATAATGCACCTTTTTTTCCTATTCGAGTACATAGATCTAACATGAGTACGTGTGGGCTGTACGCACAGATTCACTGTGTTAACGCGTGCCCAGCGGCGTAACCAGGATTTTTAGTCCAATGGGCAAACTTCTATTGTATCGGAAAAAAACGATGGGCAAAATGGGCCAAGTTTTTGTTGATGGGCCAAAAGATTTTTGGTCCAAAAAGAACACAAAAAATGAAATGAGATTCTTTTAATTTTTGAATTAGATTCTAATTCAAAAATAAACAAACAATTCTGTCTATAGGCACTCTTACATATAT